TTTGGACTGAGAGTCATAAGTGAGAATGGCCGATGGTTTTCTCTGGGCTATATTTGCTGCGTTTCACTCCTGAGCTAGCTCCACACAAGAAATATGAAGCTCTCCTCCTTTCTCTAGCCTCTGAAACAACACATCAGACTTCACTGGCAGTATAGGTCTTGTAAATGCCCCTGTGGAAACATCTGGGCTTGGTGCTATTTTGGAGAGTAGCTCTTTGCCCTTCTTCCCTATTTCTCCTGTGCCACTTGGTCTATTTCAATTTTGTAACTCTTTTCAAGTCCCTTCTGAGGAGTGATATTGTCCTAAAAATTATTGATCTCATTCACATTTTCTAACTTATTTGACAAAACTGAACAGAGTCATCTCTGAAGGTAATTGTACTTTTCTCTGCATCTTGAGTTAATTCTCATTTCATATTTTGGATATTTGTGCTTTCTCCCCTGTCTTGGTGAGTTGACAGCTCAGCTACTTAGTTTTAAAGAATCGGTTCTTGGATTTATTGTTTTAATTCTATATTTTTCTGTTTTGTCCATCATCAGTTTAGTATTGTATCTTTATTAATTACATCCTTCTGTTTTTAACAGGTTTATTTTGTTCTGTTTCTATCATCTTCCAAGGGTGCATATTTTAGTTTATTATGACTTTGTAACTAACACTCATTTCAAACCACAAGTTTCAGTACAATTTTAGCAAAATATAATGGGTTCTTCTATGTCATTTTCATTTCCTTACTTTTCTAAGTATTATCTATTTTGTTCATTGTTTTCCTTTTTGATCCAAATGTTACCTAAGCATTTAAAAACTTCCAAGGAGTAGGAATAATTTATTTTATATGTTGTTACTAATTTCTAGTTTTTAAAAAATTATTATCAGATATCATCCATATTTTCCTCCTTATTTGAATGTTTTAAGATTTTCTCTGTGGCCTAAAATATGGCAAATAGTTGTAGTGTTCCAAGGACACTTGAAGAGATGTGATCTCTGTCAGGGTTCAGAGTTTGATATATTAGATCTAGCATATTAATTATATATTTAGGTCTTCTCCATCTGTAACCTTAATTTGGCAAGGACTGTACCAATTATTTCTGTCTATGTATTTCCTTTATATCTGCTATAATCATTATAACTTAACTATGAATAATGAAATTATGTTATTTGGTGCATAGATATTCCTATGTCTTCTACACTGTGAATTGTAACTCTGGTGATTATAAAATGTCCTTCTTAATTTCTTTCATTGCTTTCTGCACATTCTAGCCTCTTGGGAGAATATTCCAGTGCAGTTGAGCCAGTCATTCCCATGAACATTGGCCAGCAGGCAGCCATAGAGGCCACCATGGATGCAGCAGGGTCGTTATTGGAGAACACCAGAGCCACCTGGATGGACACTGGGGAGGTAGGTTTACTGTTAATATGGCTTTTAAAGTACAGTGAAATGAAGCAAACTACCACCGACAGTGGGGTTCACGCTCCCAGTAAGAAAGTACGCTGGAACAAAAATTAGGTACCCCACTTAAAAATGCTCTTTAGGAAGACACATTTTACCAGGTGTCATATACTTTCCTTTAATTCGTGTGAAAGGCAAGCACATTACCAAGCCATCTATAACACTGCAGCGGAATACGACTGTTTTTGCTTTTGGCACCTGTCTTCCACATGGACGCATTGTACAGGAAACTACGGTGCGCACTGCTCTGTTTCCCACCAGGCTTCACACACACGTCCTTGTGGTCTCCGCAGTCACGACCAGATGTGTGCGCATCCTCACCGGGTGCTGGGCTGGCTGCTGGGCTTGAGCTGGAACCTATTCAGACCCCACTCAGGTTTAGCTCCGGGATCTGGGGTGGGTTTAGCCACACTAAGGCTTCGTTTTCTCATCTGAGAAATAGGAACCCCGGAACCTCCATCTCAGCTTCGTGGTGAAGGTTCTAAAGGCTACTTTAAATCACCACCCAAATGACCGGGTAATGGATAGTATGACTTTGAAGTATGTTTTCTTCCTGTCCTTAGGTTACGTTAGTGATGAACAGTTTTCCATGGAGTGGCTTGTAAGTGTCCATCCTCAGATGCACTGCTTTTCAGTTCCCTTGCCTACTTATCTTTTAGTGTTTTGATGGTGCCCCTAAAATCCGGATGAAATATATATATGAATGATAGTATTAACTCTTATGTTTGGTGCAAAGCCTTCTTGAACTAATAGTTTGTTTTATTTTTACTGGTGTATTTAATGTTTTATTTGAATTTGTCAAACTTTTCCTTTATCACCTATTATGTTAAAAATATTCCATCTAATTTAAATCCATCTTAGCTCATCTGGTGTCTGCAGTATAGCTAAGAGCAGCCCATCCTAGTCTCTTGCTTTAGAAAGCCTGCTTTATGATTCAAAGTTGTAACAGACAAAGTCCTGTTCCGGGACTCTTCACCATGCTCTCCAGGACTTTGCTTTATCTTAACACGGGTTCCTTTTACATGCTGCTGTGGCACTGGCTATATACCATATTTTCAGACCATAAAACACACCTAGGTTTCAGAGGAGGAAAATAGGAAAAAAATTTTTGAAGCAAAAAATGTGGTAAAATATTATAATATAAATGACATAATATTTCACCAATGTAAATGTAAACAGAACTCAATAGCAGCATTAACAACCATTATTCTTCCCAAATTTGGCGGGGGCGGGGGGCGGAGGTGCACCTATAGTCCAAAAAATACAGTACTCTTTCTTACAAGTTTGGTGTGTTTTCCAAGCACATAAACCCCATGATTTTGCACATGCAGAGTATCTTTGCACAGACACACTTCAGAATTTAAACATTTTTTTCTTAAAATATGTCCCAACTAGGGAAAGGATCCAACGGACTTTTTACTTACCATTTAAAAGCCCTCCCCAAGTGGTGGTAATAGTGGAAGAAACAAGAATGCGGTGTGAATATGGGGAAGCAAAGGAAAACAAGGGAATATGTGATCATGAAGCAAATGCATAGTCTGAGCGTAGGCTTAAAGAAAAGGATAAATTTAAACTTAAAAAGAAAGAAAGGAAGATCCTGGAGAAATCAAGGAAAGAGAAGTCCCCCAGCACTCTTCCTGCTAGTTCTTCCAATATTCCACACAAATGGGCCCACCTGACCACATCCTGGTTGATATCAACTTTATCCACTTTTACCTGAAGGCTAAACTGGACTTCGTGCAGTCAGTGTTGGGCCGTCTCTATGCCAAGTGTATCCCTTGTATAGCTGACTGTGTAATGGCTGAAACGGAGAAATCGGGGCAGAAGTATGGAGTGGCTCTAAGGCTCGCCAAGATCCAAGATATGAATAATTACCACACACCGATGAAAGAACCTATGCAGATGATGGTTTAGTATAGAGAGCAACTCAGCACAAGCATTTTTACATGGTGGCCACAGTTGGCTGGCACCTTAGAGGAAAAATCAGGAAGATCCCTGGAGTTCCCATCAGGTACATTTCTAATCAGAGGTACAACACTGAGTGGGCACATGATGATGTTAGAGCCTCGGTTCTAATGCTTAAAAGACAAAGCCCCTCTCCTTTCCCTCAACTACCTTTCTCTGTTTCCAGTTTTTTAAACATGTTACAGAATGAGTTATTATTGCTCCACTCAGTTATTTGCTGTTATGAACTGAGTATGGTTAAATATGCTCAGTTTCTGATGTTTTGAAAATGGTATTTTATACCATTTTAATATGTTACATATTTTAATAAATCAGATGAACATCCTGATTATGAACAGGAGCTAATTAAAGAAAAACCTAATTAAGGGAAGGGGTCACACAACTACCTAGCAGTTCAGTTGTGATTTTATTCTGTGGCTAGGGAACTTCTTGGAGACCCTGGAGCACCATGCTATGAACTCTTCCTGGACTCCTTTCCTGCCTGTCCTCATATGAGCTCTTTGAAGACCACCACTTTTCCTGCTCCAGCTGATGTTTCATAATTTTTAACCAGGGGTGGAGGGTCTTTTTCTCCTGGGGCTGCTGGGACTGCTGGATGGACTCTGTGTGAATCCAGGCTCTGTGTTCAGAGGCAGCACAGCTGAGCAGCATGTCTCTCTGCTGCCACCTCCAAGGCCTGGCCCTTCCATTTCAGCTCCTTGTCTTCCCTCTCCCCCAGCATGCTCACGGCTGGCTCACTCAGTTGCCTCTCCAGTAAGGCTTTCTCCTGGAGGTACTGGGCCCGGGCCTTTGCAGCTGTCTCAGCTCACACTTTCTTTAGCTCCTCTTGGGTTGTCTGCAGCTCCCTGTACTCTTTCTCTCCTCCCAGTGAAATGTCCCTCACTGCCTCCTGCTGCTGCTGGAAATTGGAGACCAGCTTTGCTTTCTCCAAGAGCTGTGTTGTTTGAGGCCCTGAAGTTTGTGTCACATATTTGGAGGCTGATTCTTGTCTTGTTGGAAACATCTCACAACTTTCTTGAGCATATTTGTCCCACTGATTTTCCATTTCCCTTTGGTACTTCTTAGGTTTGTTGGAGAAGTTTGCTATCATGACTTCAGTGTTAGCCTGGAATGGTAGCTTTTCATTGAGTAAGCAGGCCGGCCTCTTCCCTTAACACTTTTTGTTGGATTTGAGTTTCTTTCATTTGGTAGTCCAGCTTCATCACTTCCATTGTCTTTTTTATGAGCCCCATCAGTGCCATTGTTGGCTTTTCTTTCTCTAATACTCTATTTAGTAAATGAAAATGTGATCTAGGGGGGCTACTATAGTTCTCCTTTTCAGGGAGTATTCCTGGTCCCTGGGCTCTGAGCCTAGTACTAGCATCCATTGTCCAGAATCCTCGTGGGTCCCAGAACACCTGGCTAGTGGACAGGTAGTGTTAACTGGTATGATTGTCTTGGTCTTAGCTTCCCCCTTGAGTGGCACCAAGGTTCTTGCTGGCGCTCTAGACTGCAGGGTCACCGTAATCTCAGTGGCGGGTACTCCAGACCTCAGCGGCAATGTGGTCCTGGTGGTAGGCTCTCTGGACTGCTGCAGCTCCTTGGTCCCATGGTGGGCTCTCCTGGCTATAGTGGCACTGTGGTCCTGGTGGTGGGCACTCTGGTACCTGATCACGAGTCTGTCAGGTAGACTCCCACACCAGCTCAGCACTGGAAGATGGTCCTGAATCCCTTCACTCTTTCTTCTCCAACAGCTCACACGACTCTCCTCTCTTTCCTTCTCACTCTTTCTTCTCTCTTACAATTCAGGGTGTGGAATGTAGGTATCTCTCTAGGCAAGTGTCCGTGGTAACCAGGTGAAGGGGAGGAACCAGTGAGCTCATAAGGGGGGCTTTGACCCCAGTGTTTCTACAAGTCTCCAGTGTGTCTCCAAAAATATGGGAACATAGTTTTTTAACACAGGAAAGAAAATCTGAAGTCCCTATGTTGGGCTTAGCTCAGTCACCCATTGGCCACAGGTAGCATTTCCAGTAACCCTCGCAGTCCTCTGCCACCCTGGGTCTGCTGGAGATGACACCATTTTTTTTCTAGGGTTAACACACCTCAGAGTCCAGTGGCAGACATCTTTGCCACGCTTGCCAATCACGCTGACCCCGCTCCCGCCTCCCACATGGTCACACAGTGGCCATGGCCTCGCAGCACTGGCCAGAGGTGGGTTAAGGCCTAGTGCAGTCCCTCATCTTAGGATGCTCATCTTGGTTCCATTGCTCAGTTGTTGTGTACATGCCACTTGTCTGCCCTGCACGCCTTTTCCACAGGTTCCTAAACTCAGGGTCCATTCTGTCTTTATCCATCTAGTTTGGCCTGGCTGCTCATTGCACTTGTGAATTTGTGGGTCTGGCTTAGCAAAATATTTGCATTTCTTATTTTCCATGATGCTGATTATTTTGGGTCATGGCTTTTGTAAAAGACCCTGTCACCTTCATTTCTCTTGCAGGTTCCTGCAGCCTACAGAGAGGCTGCCCGAGGCCTGTGCGCCAGGGTCAGGATGGGTGCGGACCAAATATATTCTCCCATACATTTGGTTCCCTTTTAATTTTGCTGATGCTTTATTTGCTGTGGAGAATCTTTTTAGTTTGATGTAGTCCTATTTGTTTATTCCTTCCTTTACATCCCTTGTTTAAAAATCACCACTTTAGTTGCTTTTCTTATAATCTTTGTGTGTGTGTGTGTGTGTGTGTGTGTGTGTGTGTGTGTGAAAAAGGATACATACAAAGAGTGCCGTTTGAAATACGGCCAAGAATCTTTTGTTTGACAGCCTGTTGTTGCTGTAAAGCAAAGGGTCACAAAGTACAAAGCAGATGTTTTTTAATTGTTCTCATAATTTTAAAATGAGGAGCAAATTTATTTTCAAAAATTTAATTTATTGATTTTAGATAATTCATTCAAAATTCAAAACATCTGAAGGGTATATGACAAAATGTTGTCTTCTAACTCCCTGCTTCGTGTTTTTCAACATTTGGGAGATTTTAGGAAAGTCCTCAGCACCCACAGAGGCAGGCCATGTGTGGAAAAGCTGCTGCAAGTGGCTCCAGCCAGCTGTGTGAGTTGGGCGGGGTGTGGTCTCAAGGAATCACCAAGGTGTTGGGGTGGACAGTGTTAGTTAGGTCAGTGAGAGCTCAGATTGGGCCCCTGTCAGATCATCTATCCCAGGAAAGTTTCCCTGACCTCTGTCCTTCCAGTCCTTGGCCTGACCTAGTCCATTTAATTCTGCTCTTTGTGTCCCTGGTACTTTGTGAGTTGCTCCCTGTGTGTTGGAGCCCAGAGCGAGTGAGTTTGTGAGTGAGGAAGTCTGTGCTCAGGCCCTGAAAGAGAATGCCTCAGTCTACAGTAACCCTCTTTCTTACCCGGAGGCAGTCTTTGCCCATTTTCACAGGCAGATGTTATGGGGACTCCTTCCTGGCACTGGTGTCCTAGGTTAGGAAGCCCAGTGTGGGGCTGGACCATTTACTCCTGATTCTGAATTGCCACACAGTGGGTTCTGCATCTCTGCCCTGCTGCTAGTCTCATAGCAGCTGCTTCTTTATACCCTTAGTCATAGGGCATCTGTCCAGCTATTCTTTAGGTGGCTTTCCATGATGTTTGTCCTGTAACTTAATTATGGTTTTGGCATGCTCAGGGGAGGTGGCCTGCAGAGCACTGACTTACACTGCCGTTTGGCCAGAAATCTGTCTTCTCTGGTTTGATACAAATGGTAGCATAAGAGAGCCACTCTCTACACTTGCTTTTTTCACTTGTCAAAATATAAAAGCCACTTAATTTTTTAAAAAACTCCTGTAACAGAAATTGAAAAAATGCTGAAATGGAAAAATTGAAACAGTAGTAAACAATGTGGAAGATAGTTGGAATTATTAACAAATAACAAATAAAATAATTAGGGAAAATAATGTATCAACATGCTTGGTAAATTGGGAAATCTAAGTTATATAAATGACTAACGAAATACAAGAACTAGAAAATCTGAATGAGCCAGTAAGTGAGGAAAAATTAAGAAAGCTCTCTTGTCTGACAGCCAAGTGACGAAAGCAGCTAAGCATAAGAGAAATCAGAGAAGATCCTTTGGATTTGCACCTTGGATGTGATGTATGACCTCAGAGGATTTTTTTTCGGTAGAACAATAAACACAGGCACTCAGTTGTTGGGGATGGGTTCTGGAAACAGAACTGGAGATGAGGAAATGGAGACAGCATAGAGAAACATTTTAGTGTAGTGCTGCTGTGAATAGTACTCAGCATGGAAACCAGTGCAGAGTGAGGAATTTTTCCCTCATTGTTGCCTAGTCTTCAGCATGTGAAAGAGATGATAGCCTGGAGCCACTAGAGAGATAAAGTGAAGATGCAGAGGAGAAAATAAATGGATTCTGAGATGTCCCTGAGAAAGGCGGGAGGGGTGGGCAGCCCAGGTTAGAAGGGACTGGCCTGAGTCTGGAGGATGGTTTCCCCTCCCTCCTGAAATGAAGAAGGGATTGGTGCTGGGAGGCATTTGCAGAAAATTTGTTTGATGGCTTTTCCTTTTTTTTTTTAGATTGGTTTGGTCCTCTGCTGGAAATGAAGGGATAAGAGATTTGAGAGAATGGAAAATGAGTGAGGGTCAGTGGGCAATAGGAGAGAAACCCGAAGAGCGAAGTACATCAGGAGCAGTGGGCACCGTTGAGTCCCGGGCGGGTTCCCTAAAGGGCATTGCTTAGTGCCCTAGGTGCAGGCTCAGAGAGTGCCAACAAGGAGATTCTTCTGGGACAGTTTCCCCACTTACTGGTCTCAGGGCCTCTTTACAAATGTCAGATTGATAGTTCCAGAGAGCTTTTGTTTATGTAGGGTGTGTTTATTGATAATGACTATAAAAATTACAAGAAATGCAATGAAATCTACCATAAGTTAACATAAAGAATACATTTTAATGAAAACTGACTATTTTGGGAACCACCCTGCCTGGTTTCAGGAGCTGTAACCCTCGCAGCTAAGGCTGAGTGAGAGACCTCTGGACCAGGAGACACTAAGGAGATAAGCTTATTTCCCTGGCAGGAGCGCTGCTTCTGCTCCTTGCCTGGCCCCCAGTGCTTGATCAGTTAGCCAAAGACGGGTAAGATTCCCCAAGGGGGGAAACTTATAAGACAGGCATGATCACATGGAGGCCCCAGGGAAGGACTTGGGGGGCTATGGAAAGAGGGGGTGATCAACCCTCGCCCCTTGGCTTTGACAAAGCCTGAGTCCTCATTCTATCTGTGAGAAGTCTCCAATCTCTTGGCTGCCTTGTCTCCTCTACCTGACTCAAGCCTGTAACAATGACAATGGGTGGTGTAACCCTGTGCTGGGAACTTCGGACTTCCTCGGGATGATTAGGCCTGAGAAAGGATATGTAAAATCCTGTGAAACCTGCTTTGTTGAGGATGCTTTTAATTAGATTATAAAGGCCCGGGCAGGAAATGAATTTAGTCCCTTAAGTTTTGTAACTTTTTAGGTGATAGACCCTGACTCAGTGTGAGCCCTTTTAGCTCTTTGAACATTATCTATTCATTTGATCCTAACTGCCTGACAATGATTAATGAACTTTACTTGTATTTCTGTGCAATTTTAAAGCCAATAAAAACCCTGTGAAGGGGAGGATCGAGGTGCTCTTCTCTTGAGAGAGTGGTCTTGCTGTCCCTTTTCCTCCACAGGACTCGGTGGTCTGTGTGAATTTGTCTCATGTCTCGACCATCTGCAGCACTGCAGATATTGCTGGTTGGTATCTGCGTCAGACTATATTTTCCAAAACAAAAGATGTGTAATTGAAAGAATGGTGTATTGAGCAGTTTTGCAGATGTCTTTAATTTTTGGCACATTGGAAGATAGTTGAACTTTCCTGTTTGTCTCTCCATTCAACCTGCTGTGATCTGCTGTTTTTATTTAATTATATGATGGAAAAAGGAATATTTTAATAGCCTCTTCAGATAATCATGGTTCTTTGGTATTACACCAAAAGTAGACATATGATAAGGTTCTTCAAGATTAGCTAAGAGTTGGATTCTGACCTGTATCAGGACTTTTTTGTATGAAATCCCTTGATATATTCTGCTCAGCATTCATTCTGATATGTTCTGTGCACACACCTTCTACATAATGCTGTGGCTCACTGAGTTAAGCACATCTTCTCTCTATGGACATATTTCATTAGATGATGTAAAGAAAATCACATTCATTAATGTTATTCCTAGTTTATCAGAAAAGCCTTTAAGTATTGGGACACTGTCAAGTTCACAGTGATAGATACATGTTTCCCACCATTCTAATCTTCATTTGAAAGATGGAATTTTATCCTAGGTGATAAACACTGTCACTGTTTTCCTTGAAGTGACAGACTTGCTTTATTCAGTTTCAAGAGACTGTCTAGTGTGCAAGCCCCAGGAATCAATTGCACAAGTGCTTTTTTCTTGAGACAATGATCCCACTTTATTATGTGGCAGAAGTGCTTTGTATATTTCATCATACCAAATATTTAAAGGCTCTGAACTCAGAGGTTGAGATTTGGTAAAATTGTACTCTATGAGGACAAGAGAAACTGGCCTGTGTATTTTCCTGCAAGTGCACGGTGCTGAGGAGCACAGTGACCACTGCCACACAGATAATGTACCGAGCCTTCATTCATGCTCAGATTCCAGTGGTTTTCCTCACCATTGCTTTAGTGCCGTTAGTGCAAGTGTGTGCTGTTGAAAAGAAGCACATAACATGTTATTAGTGTTACTATGAAAATGAATTTGACCTTGGCAGAATCCCTGAAAAGGTCTAAGAGCCCACAAAAGTCCGTGAACCTCATTTTGAGAATTGTTATTCCAGGCTTAAGATTTTGTCAGGTGTGTTCAATGAAATTGAGACATGAAAGTAAAAGATATCATAGCCATAGATCACACCATGGACTGTGGCCTGGACAGTCCTTTTACTTTCTATCTGCTCTTTCTGAGAGGACACCGTATGTGTTTTTCAACTTATTTATTTGAGACATGACAACTACCTGCTACATACGCAGAAGGAGCAATTTATGATGCTGAAATAACATTTTGGGAGTGAAGAACTGTAGCTTGGAATGCTGGATGTACAAAGGATTTAAAGGACCAGAGTTCTAGTCCTGCCTCTGTTACACACGAGGTTTACTAAGTTCTGGGCATGTCACCCGATCTTTCTAATCCTCAGGCTTCTGACCTCTATGATAGGGTGAATATTATGTGCTCCCACCTTTCTCAGGGTAGTTTTGATATTCAGGTGCTACCATCAGCTCCTTATCCCAGGTAATGTCTTCTTTATCTTTATGTCTGTAAAGCAGTGCTTGGTGTGTGGTGGATATTTATTGAGTTAATTAATTGACTTAAACAATTTAATTATGAAAGTTTTAAACATACACAAAAAACATGAATTGTATAAGAAGCCCCTGTTTACCCCTAATACATTTGTAACTCTAGAAAATCAGAATGTTCTCATGTAAACAAAATGACACCCAACAAAATTAAACTTAGGTTCTTAATGTCATGATACAGTCCTTTCACATTCGGTTATGTCCAATTGAATTGAAATACAGACATATATATGGGTTTACAGTTTCTTTGCTCAAGTCAGATCCACACAAAGTGCAGTCATTGCATTTGCTTATTATGACTCAAGGTTTCTTTTAATTGAGAACATTTTATTCTCCCAGCTTCACCCCTTTTGATGTCATTGCCTCATTGGAGAAACTGGGGCTAGTTTTGTAAAATTTTCCAGTGTTTGTTTCCCTGTGGCGTTATTTAGCTTATTCCTCTATTTCCTGTGCTTCTGGTAAACTGGAAGTTAGACCTAAGTGTTTGATTCAATTGATAGTTACCTTTTGGCAAACATGCTGTATCTGGCAAACAGTGCTGTGTACTTCCTACATGTCTCATAGGAGGTACATGATGTTTTCTTGCTGCCTGGCTTGATCAGTGTGTTCAAGTACGGGCAGCGTGGTCTTCCCATTGCTCGCCATGAACCTCTCCAGTAACGGTCCTAGCATCCATCGGCGGTCATTGCCCGAGTGAACGAACTTCGGACCCTGAGGTACTAAATACCTGAGTAGGGGTGGTATTGATGTACTATTATAATTACTACTAATAAGGTAGGGCACTATCTTTGAGCAAAATCATCAATGAAATAAGAGCTGTATGTAGTAACAAGCCTCCAAATTAGGGACTATAGATTTAACAGCCAGGAGAATTTTATTTATGGTATAGAAAGAACTTTTTCACCCCATCACAGTAGATTTAGAGCTTGTCTCTTAACATCAAGTCATATTAAAACAAATGCCTTTAAACTGTCTTTTGTTTTGTTTTGCTTTGTTTTGTTTATCCTTACCCAAGGACGTTTTTCCTTTGCTTTTAGAGAGAGAAAGGAAGGGAGAGAGGGTTTAGAGGAGAAGGGAGGCAGAAAGAGAGGGAGGGGAACGTTGATGTGAGAGAGCAACATTGATTGGTTGCCTCTTGTACAACTCAACCGGGAATCGAACCCATGGCCTTTCAGTTTTGGGAAGTACACCCAACCAATTGAGCCACACCTCTTTTTAATGAAAAGACTCTCGGAAACCTTTTATGTCTAGATTACTTTGAGACTTGATTGATACAATTTTCAGAATAAAATGCAGTTAACTGATACAGTAAGATTCCAGATGATGGACAAAATGAGGCGCACTCTTGGAGCTCTGCTGATAGTGAGATTTAAGATGTTAGCTGTAGATACCATAATTTTTGTTTCATTACTTCTGTTAGAAATAAATAAAGCATTCTGTTTTATGTGGTTCATAATAAATCCATTTTTACAGATTATCATTGAACTCAAATGTTGGGAAATTAAATCAAAACAGTGTGCACATTTGGAAAATATTGTTGGTTACTTTTCTTTTCTTTGCTGCTAGATTTGCCTATTAAAATGATCTGCAAGAAGAAGATGTACAATACTTCAAATTTAGACTTGGGATCAAGGACAGGTGGCATGCTCACCAAAAATACTTTGACAATTTCTTGAAAAAATGAAGGAATGTTTTCTAGTTCTTGACAAAGGGCATGAAATTTAATTCAAGGATATACTATTAACTTCTTTCATTCTTCAATAGGAAAATAAATATTTCAAGCATAGTGAGCTCACAAAAAAGAAGAGGAAGCATATTTTGAAAGATGTGGCTATAAGGTATGAATTCCTGCTTTTATGTTAAATTATCTATTTATGAGATAATTTATCTATTTATGAGTATAAATTTGTACAGCTATTGTGAAAGTGACAAAATTATTGACTTCTGTCAGTTTATCAATGTTATACATTAGCCTGTAAGTGAGAAGCCATCTGGAGAGGTATGAGTTCTGGTTTTCATTTTTTTCTCTTTTTTGTCTTGAAGTCAGGAAAACACATGTGCGACTTTTGGGTTGGAATGATTTGGCCTTCTGTGGACAGCCAATGAATTGGCTTGAAATCAGGCCTGATTTTTGGTTTTTTAAATATAGTCCTGGATCTAATGCTCCCTCATTTTCATCTCTCCACCTCTCCCAATAAAAGTCTATTTTTAAAGGGCTAAAAACATTTTATTCCTTCAACAACAATGGTGTCAACAGTAGTATTTCCCCTGCTTCCTCATGAATATTTAAGCCAATGCCTTTATGTCTGCATTGTTAACAATTCCTTCTGGCCCTAAGTGCCCCTGCCTGAACTATAGCACCATGTAACATTCGTATTCTTTTTCATCTTAAGAAACCACATTGCCCAGTCTCTTGGATAGAAAATGTAATATTGAAATATTTGCTAGAAACCAGTGAGTTGTCTGGAAGACTGTGTATTTTAGAAGCATGACTGAAAGTATCTTTGAGATTATCTAGTTGAATAATGTATTGGGTGTTTTATTGGGAGGGGTTAATGTTTATGAGGTAAAGTATGTTTAAATTATTTTTAAAAGACTGTATCTCTTTTAGTAATTTCTTTCATCAAATTTCAGAGACTCTCTGAAATACTTTTGCCAGATCATAAACGTGAAGTCAACTTTTTGTTTGTGAAACACCAATTTAAAACAATCCTCTTGTGCATGTCATATTGAAAGTTCTGGCAATAAATTTATCTAGCATAGCATTTCTAGAGGGAAGCATGCATGATGCAAATGGTTTGTGTATGCATTTGGTTTTATTTTGTAGTGTTGGTCAAGGGCAAGTTTGAAAAATGTCACTTTATTTCTGATAGCTTTCTAAAATATGAAAGCTTAGTTGGTATTTTGATATTTTCCATGAATATATTGATTTCATTTACTTCTAATTTAGGAGATTAGAATATGTTTTATGTAAGTAACCATTGAATAGATGTTCAGAAAGAATTTTCATGTTGTGCTTGCCCAATATTGTCTAACTTCCAACTCGATTTGGATTAAGGATTACCCTGGGTTTAGTCTGTTGATTTGCTGCTTTCCCAAATTTTTAAATTTGAGCCTGTTGCCCTGGCTGGTGTGGCTCAGTGGATTGAGTGCCAGCCTGACACCAAAGGGTCACAAGTTCGATTCCCAGTCAGGGTACATGCATGGGTTGCAGGCCAGGTCCCCAGTGGGGGATGGTGCACAAGAGGCAACCACACATTGATGTTTCTCTCCTTCTCTTTCTCCTTCCCTTCCCCTCTCCCTAAAAATAAATGAATAAAATCTTGGAAAATATTTGATCCTCTCAACTTTTTCATAAGGTAGGAAAACACTTTTTTTAAAATGGTGGCATTTTTGCTTTGCATAGGTTGCTTCAGTGATGTGGCGGTACTTTCTTGCTTATATATTGGAAAGCACTGGAACAAAACAATTACTGTAAAGGTATTGCTTGTGATGTTGAATTCAGCTGCCATTTCTGCCAGTCAATAATTAGGACTACTTTTTATCCTAAGATTTTTGGAGAAATAACCTGTTTTTATGCTTAAAAAGAAAGCACAGGTTATTCTTTCTAAATCATTTAAAATATTTCCTTTTTGGTAGTAATGCAAATACAGCCTGTATTGCTTTTTATTCCTTTATAGAAACAAACTCTCATTTTTTAAGGCTTGATGCTTATTTATTTTGTAAAATTATAAAGGATAGTTTTGTAAATCTCAGTTTTCTTTTACACTATTAATACTGATAACCATAAATACTAAAATATAGTCATAAGTTCTGTAATTTTAACCATATAGCCCTTCTTAGTTGAATATGAGTTTTTCCTTAAGGTTGATCTTTTATATTTTTTTGATCTTACTTATTTTGGCATTTTAGATTTGTCTGTTGGTCACTTGGGAAACAATGTTTCAATATCATTTTATAGAGGACACAGTGGGGCTTATAAATTGCTGAACTTGATTTTCCCAAACTGTGACTTGGGTGGCAGACTTAAGAAAATAAATGAAGAGATACTTTTCTCTGCTGGTTCATAACAACAAGTATGTCCACACTTTTCTTTGTGTGGTGTTAGCAGAGAGGCACTGTTTTTCATTATTTTCTCTCAAGGATCATAGCTCCATTTGTGGGCAAGGGCCACATAGCATTGGAAATTCTTCTACATGTCCAACAGTGATTTCTGTGCACTTGGAGTGTATCTTTCAAAAATAAGGGGAGGAAAAGCTGGATCTTGAGGCTTCACTGGTTTCTGTTGGAAAGCAGTTCTGTTCTTTGACCTTCACTTTGAACCCAGAGCAAGGAGCAGACAACCCTGTAAGATGATTTTCTGAAAGAGGGGAAGCAGGTTGGTTGTTTTTTGAGAAAAGAGTAAAATTCTTTAGAGTTGAGGGGGAAAGTGAGTCTAAATTTCAGCTCTTGTAAGGTTCTGAGTTTGGAAACTATCATACTTATGTCACTCTTCTGTAGCAAGAATGCTGTCTCCAATGTGCATGCTTTCTATTTATGCTGAATTCAATCGGAAAAGTTTGATAAGCTCTTAAAAGCTGCTCATTTATTATGAGCTCTTTCCTTGAAGCAACGTTTAGAAGACCTTGAATATTTAAAACATATTTAACTTTCATGAACAGCTACGCTATAGAAGAATAAATATTAACTATGTTTTAAAAGCTGAATTTCATTTCTTTTTTTGCCATTGTAGACACAGCCAAAAGAGGAGGACCAGAAACCATCAACTTCATTGAATCCAGTATTAGAACTTGAACTGGCAGAGGAAAAGTTACCCATGACTCTTTCTAGGCAAAAGGTAAGCTTATGTAGAGTGTTCTGTGAATAAAAGAAAACTCTACACAGCCTTTGCATTTATCTCTAGTTCTATCCAGTAGTTTTGTGTGATTATGTCCCATAGAAGGTGACTTACGGAACTCAGTTATTGCGCAGCTAGCCAGCTTTCTTCATGAGGTTCTAAATTATCTCTGCTTTTCTTGATACTTTTATATTAAACTTTTAAAAGTATCTATCATTCTAAACTTAACTAAGCAGATTGATTTAAATGTATGTATTCTAAGTAATTATATTTATCTAAGTTATTTTAAATAGTGTACTATTTTGTAACTTACTTTCCCTTAAAATATCTTTCTAGGGCAAATTGCAGAGCCATTTCAAAAACCAATTCTTTATTGATGGTCATTTAGATTGCTTCAGCCTTTTCATATTATAAATCATACTAAGAGGAGTATCCTTCTGTAGACATGATTCATGCATAATAATGTATGATTATTTCTATTGGAAATTTTTCTACAAGTATGATTTCTGGAGGGTATGCATGAAAGATTTAAGTCTCTGTACATTTCTAGGACTTTTTATATATACTTACTAGAGGGCTCTGTATCAGTTATATTGGTTTATATTTCCATCTGTAGTGTTTGCCCATGTTCTGGTCAATATCAACTATTATTTTCTTAAAAATTTTTTATAAGATGTTTATGTGAGCCTGGCTGGGGACTTAGTTGGTTAGAGCATTGTCTTATACATCAGAAAGGTTTGCAGGTTCAATTTCCAGTCAGGGTTAGATCCCAGCTCAGGGTGTGTGTGGGAGGCAACTGACTGATGTCTGTCTGTCTCTGTCTCTGTCTCTCTACCAAATCAATAAAAGCCAATCAATAAATGAAAAATAAAATCAATAAACATATCCTGAGATGAGGATACTTATGTGATACAAAGAATTCAAACTATGCAGATGGTACAAAACCAAAATGAGCTTTGGACAAAAGGAAACTCTCAGAGGAAAGGATGGCGGACTCTGGAAGCTGTCCTGTGAAATTAGAGGAAGGCATTTTGAATATTTAGCCTGAAGAGAGGAATATTAGAGGCTTTTAAAAGCATCCACTGACAGCAGCTCTAGTTTTGAAAAGGAACTGAGTATTCTCTGTGCTTTCATAATGTAGAGCTAAGATCATGGGGTAGAAGTTTAAGAGAGGTAGATTTTGTTTACTTTGAGAAGCAAAACATATCCAAAAATGGGGTGGGCTGTTTCATGAAGAGACGTAATTCCTGTCACTTGTCAGATGGGGACCTGACAAAAGTGTTTTTGAGGTCATTTCTGCATTGATTAGAGAAAGCAAAAGACAACCTCTTAAGTTTCTTTTTAATGGCAAGCTTCAGTTAATCCACTGGAAGACAAGTGGTTTCTTAATGTGTTCCCAGCTAAAGCTCTTGGTACCTTAAACAAAAATTTTGGACCAACTTTTAATTATAAGTTTTGTAACTTCTTTTTATGAAATATAGCATGTACATGGTATATAAAATACATATGTCCAATATAATGGATAATTTTAAAACAAACACTCAATCATCATCCAAGTCAAGAAACTGAGTATCGTCAGCCCCTCAAAAGCCTTGCATGTGCCACATCTTGATTGTACTCACTTTCTCTTCTGAGGGACACGTGTTTGGTTTGGATGTAGTATTGCAGCTGACCTTGGCTATGGCCATTGAGTCATCAGCTGGCTCCAAACTGGATTTTCCTTCTCTATATAAATATCATCAGTGGCTCCCATCTTAGTATTTTTCTTATGTATTCTACTACATAGATTGGTACCTTTCTGAAACATTTAAAGGACTTAAAACCATTAGGACCATTGAAGATGTGACAATGAGTTAGTATGTTTGTTGATGGAAAATTCAAGGAAAAACAAACAGAACTTTTTCATTTACATTTCAAAATAAGTGTTTGGTCACCTAAAATAGGAATTACTGTTACTAATAACATAAGGAATTACTACTGTGGGTTTTTTTTTAATGGGTTATCAGAAGACTGAGAGAAAGATGAGAACCAATCAGACTATTTGGAGAAACTGATTATGACGCTTTTCAACGTTTAAGAAAAATAGAGATCCTCGCACTAGAAGTTAACAAGGTAAGAAGATGGAACAAAGCTAGAATATCACTGTGGCACATAAACTAGAATAGTATGAAGTCTGGTGGAGTTTGACCAATTGTATGGCTGTAAGGAAAAATGGAAAAAGTTCCCAGATTACTTACTGCTGGTGATGTAATTTATAAAAAACCTTTAAAAGCCCACATATCTTAAGCATATGGTTCTGTGCATTTTGACAACTATGTGTAAGCTTGGAACCACTACCCTTGTGAAGATACAGAGCATTTTCATCATTCAAGAAAGTTCCCCAGCACCCCTTCTTGTCCCATCCCATATTCCTCCTTTTCTGCTTCTAGACAACCACCTTTTTAAATTCTGTTGTCATAGATTAATTTTACTTGTTCTACTTTTTCTTACAGATGAAGTCATAGTGTTTGGCTTGTTTTGATTAACATAATGTTTTTTAGATTTATCCATGGTATTGCAGATGTCAGTAGCTGATGGTATTCAGTCATATGAATATACCACCATATATTTTCAACTTTCTGCCATTGTGAACAAAACTGCCGTGAACATCCTTACACAAAATTTTTGTTTGAACTTACATTATTTCTCTCAGGTAAATACCTGAGAGTGGACTTGCTGAATAGTAAGAGTGACTGTATGCTTAATTTTTTAAGAAATGCCAAATATTTCCAGATGGCATCAGCATTTGTTATTGTTAGCCATAACAACAATGGTTAACAAAATGGTTAAGTTTTAACCATTTTCTTGTATGTGTAATAGTGTGTCATTGTGCTTCTGTTCGCATTTTCCAGATAATGAAAGACCATAAGCATTTTTATTGTGGACCTTTTGGCTATACTTTTCTCTGTGTAGCATGTGTTTAAGTCTTTATGTTTTAATTGGGTTGTTTGTCTTTTTATTTTTGAATTGTAGGAGTTCATATATTCTAAATATAAGTCCTTTGTGAAATACACACAAATATACTTTGTGACTATTTTCTCCTGGTCTGTGTCTTACTGATTCTCTCATTGGTGTCTTTTGTTGGGGTGGGGGACGGCACGAATTTTAAATTTTGATGAAGTCTACTTTATCAGGATTTGGTTTTATTGTTCTTGCTTTCAGTGTTTTGCCCAAGAAATCTTTTCATATCCTAAGGTCTTGAAGAGATATTCTCATGTATTTTCTTCTGAAAGCTAATAAATTTTAACTTTTACATTTAGGGCTCTGGTATTGTTCTGTGGTTCAACTTATGGTTTGTTTTGGCGACTATTTGTCAGGCTCTTGAAAAGAATATGTTTTATGCTTTGGACAAATGTCATTTATGATAGTGTTGTTTGGATATCCTGCAGCCTTATTCTCTTAGCCACTTGTTCTAACATTTACTTGGACACAGGTGTGGGTATCTATGGCTATGTAACAAACCACCCAAAACTTAGTAGCCTAAAACAATTTATTATTATAAAATCTTTTCAGTCATCCATGACTATAACAGACCATTCTGAAACCTAGTAAGATAATTTATTATTACCTCTCAGTTCTGTGGTTTGATTGAGCTAAGCTGCTCAGTGTTTGGCTTAGGATCTTGCAGGTGATTGCAGTCAGGTGAATGGCTAAGGTCATCTGAAGGCTCCACTGGACCAGTCTTCAAGCTGAAGGTTCATCCATGTTGTAGCATGTGTCAGATTTCCCTTTTTTTAATGCTGAAATACATTCCATTGTCTGTATGAATCCCAATTTATTTATCCTTTCATCCTAGATGGATGTTTGAGTTGTTTCTACCCTTTTTCTATTGTGAATAAAGCTGAAGAACTTGGGTGTACAAATACCTGTTTTGGTCCCTCCTTTCTGCAGTATACCCAGCAGTGGAATTGCTGAATCAGGAAGTTATGGGGACATATTTTCCTGGCTCTGGAACCCTGGGCTGGGTGGTCTGGTGCTGAGCTGGGATCCTCCTGAGGTATCCCTCTTGATTCCTTATTCATCACATGTGGGCGTGGGACTGCCCATTCCGAGTGTGTTCCTCTCCGAGCATCTGTGCATCTCTGCCCCTCCTACCCTTCTGGGTGAATGGGGCTTTTTGGTTGTCCAACTTCCATACAGATTGATCTTCTGATGATTTTGGGTGATAATTTTTTTTGGTCTAGTTGTAATTATTTCTGTGGTTTTGCAAGGGGCCGAGCCATGTATACCTACACCTCCATCTTTACCAGAAGTCGTATGTTTTTGATGTCAGAGTTTACCTCTTTTTCTCATGTGTATCTCTTAACTAATTATTGTAGTTGTAATTGTTTTTACTACTTTTGTCTTAACCTCCATAGGCACTATGCATGAGTAATTCACTGTTTTTACTCTATATGTACCCTTAACAGTGAAATTTATATTTTTCATATTGTTTTCTTGTTACTCACTTGAGCCCTTTCTTTTAAGTTGAGGAAAAAAAATCCCTTTAACATTTCTTGTAAGGCCTGTTTAGTGGTGGTGAACTTCTTTAGCTTTTGCTTGTCTGGAAAACTCTATCTTTCCTTCAATTCTGAATTATAATGTTGCCAGGTGGAGTATTGTTAGTTGGAAGTTTTCTTCTTTTAGTACTTTGAATATATTCTGCCATTCCCTTATGGCCTGCAACATTCCTACATGTGGTTTCATTGTACAATATGTACAATGAAACACCTCTTACCCTCTTTTCTGTCTTTTGATTCATAAAAGATAATGTGCTTTCACAATTTAAATGGCAGGTTGGTGTTTTTAAAAACTCTTATCTAGAAATTCCATCATGTTTTTCAATAGAAATCGGACAGTCTATGTAATAAAGAGCCACGTTTAGACTGGTGTTGATAACATGTATTCAGTTGTTGCTCTTCACTCATGAGCAGGAGCATTATTTTTCCTCAGGCTTTGGGGGAGTCTTTAGGAAAAGGTGATGATCATAAAGCTGTGGACATCATTACCAAATTCCTTAAGGTATGGGCTTTTAAGTTTAGAAAGGAGGACATTTTCATTGGTTAATAACTGTTTTTATAGTTTTAGATTGTCAAGGGTTAAAGACTGGGAAGAGAAAGCTCAATAAACATTTGTGGCATGTGCATTATGGTTTTGCTATGCACTTGGATATAGAGGTTAATCAAAGACAGTATATTTATGTTTCTCTGGCACTTTTTAAAAAGCTGGCTTATTGATGTAAACATAAAGAATAGAATTACAGCAGTGGATAGAACAAGAAGTATGGGGAGCTCTACATTTTTTTGAAGCACTTGAGGAAGGATTACAATGAGGGCAGAGTTCTAGAAGCTTTTGTGGGAAGTGATGACAGAAAGGAAAGGAAGGAGGGAAGAAGACAATGGCAGTGAAAAGAGCAAACACATGAGTAGAGACTGTTCATTTTCTCAGTTCCTCAGACAGCTCTTTATTCTTGCTGTGATATGCTCATTCCATCTTCCTTCTTAGCATACTGTCTTTAGTAGTTTAGCATTTATTAAAAAATATTTCGTGTTCAGTCCTGCAAAGTGAAAGGTCGCCGGTTTGATTCCCGGTCAAGGCACATGTCCGGGTCCCTGGTTTGGGTGTGTCTTACAGGCAAGTGATTGATGTTTCTCTCTTACATCAATATTTCTCTCCTCTTTCTGCCTTCTTTCCCTCTCACTAAAAATAAATAAATAAATAAGAATATATTTTTTTAAAGATTCTGAATCTATTGAGGAAATGATATGGAACTAGATAGGGCATGAAACTATTTATTATGAACTGGGATTTTAGAGTGACAGCGCCTCCTTATATAGGATTGCACAGGAAGGCCAGTAGTTGGGTGTGTTCTCCGGAGCCCGTGCTGTCACCTGCCTCTGGAAGGGTGCTCATTGCACAGGTCAACCCAGTGGCACTGTGGTCATTTTCCGGGGTTGGTTGGGGGGAGAGTATGGGTCATAGGTTCTTTTTTATTCTATTCTGTTCTTCTCTTTTATGGGAATTTTTAATTAAATTATTGTCTCTACTGCAAAAGTAGAAAGTCCACATAGTATGACATCATACTTGGGGGATTTATTAACTATCACAGCCTGTATGGTGCTATGGCTGATAATCTAGGTGGGGAAAATTTGATGTGATAGAAATATAAGTAAAAGTTTATTTCTGTCAAATACTTATTCATGTAATTTGGTAATTCTTTTGGGGGGAAACGGATTATCTTTGAATTAGGAATATATATATATATAGAACAGGGAGGTTTATGAATTCCCAAAGGTGCTACTTTAAAACATATGTGACAGAATCAACAGATATAGTTCATTAATTATTAGTGGATGATAATGTAATCAGTCAAGAAATTTAAGGACGGTATTACACTGCTTTGTTGTGTTAGTGAACTTTTAAACTTGTTCCACCACTGGGTGGCACTGTAGTCTAAATTTATCCATTTTTCCCACAGTTCCCTCTTGGTGTTTGGGCTAAAGAACTGAATGCCAGAGAAGACTACGTGAAGCGCAGTGTGCAGGGTAAACTGAACAGTGCTATGCAGAAACAGACCGAGTCCTTTCTCAGACCCCTTTTCAGAAAGCTACGGAAAAGGGTAAGGAATCTCAAAGAATGCTTTTCTTAATTGATTTTTTAAAAATAGTATATAGCCCTGACAAGTGTGGCTCAGTTGGTTGGGCATTGTCCTGCGAAACAAAAGTTTGATTTGATTCCAGATAAGGCCATGTGCCTGCTTCACAGGTTCGGTCCCTGGTCGGGGTGTGTATGAGAGGCAATCAGTCAATATTCTTATCCCTCTCTTTCTCCTTCCTTCCCCTTCTCTAAAATAAATAAATAAATAAAATCGATTTTGTAAATCTTTATTGTATTTTTCTTTTACATGAACTTTTAGCCCCCTTATCCACCCCCCAGCAATTACCACACTGTTGTCCATGTCCATGAGTTCTTTTTCTTTTTTTGCTCAATCCCTCCACTCCCTCACAACCCCCTACCACAACTAGCTGTCATTTTGCCCTCCATCTATGAGTTTGTCTGCATTTTCCTTGTTAGTTCAGTTTGTTGATTAGGTCCCATGTATGAGTGAAATCATACTGCACTTCTTTCTCTGACTGGCTTATTTCACTTAGTATAATGTTCTCCAGGTCCATCCATATGGTCGCAAAGGGTAACACTTTCTTTTTTATGGCCTAGTAGTACTCCATCGTGTAATGTCCCATAGTTGTTTTTCATCTATTGATGGACACTTAGTTTGCTTCCATATCTTGGCGATTGTAAATAATGCTGCAATGGACATAGGGGTGATTATGTTCTTTTGAATTATTGTTTGGAGTTCCTTTAAATATATTCTCAGAAGTGGGATCACTGGGTCAAAAGGCAGATCCATTTTTAATTTTTTGAGGGATTTCCATACTGCTTTTCACTGTGGCTGAACCAGTCTGCATTCCCAACAATAAGGCAGAAGGGTTCCCCTTTCTCCACATCCTTGACAGCACTTGTTGTTTGTTGATCTATTGATGATAGACATTCTGACAGGTGTGAGGTGCTAGCTCATTGTGGTTTTAATTTGCATTTCTCTGATGAGTGACATTGAGCATCTTTTTATATGTCTTTTGGCCATCTGTATGTCCTCTTTGGAGAAGTGTCTATTCAGATCATTTGCCTATTTTTTAATTGGGTTGTTTAATTGGACAGATATGTAGAGAAAGATGAAACTACACTAACTTCTTACACCACACACAAGAATAAATTCGAAATGGATCAGAGACTTAAATATTAGACCATAAAAATCCTAGAAGAAAACAGAGGCAGCCAAATCTCAGACATGGTTCATAGCAATTTTTTATTGGCTATATCTCCCCAGGCAAGGGAAACAGAAGAATAAATAAACAAATGGGACTACATCAAACTAACTAAAAAGTTTTTGCACAGCAAAGGAAATCATCAACAGAATAAAAAGACAACCCACAGAATGGGAGAACATATTTGCTGAGACATCTGATAAGGAGTTAATATCCAAAATTTACAAAGTACTTAAAAAACTCAACACCAAAAAAACAAACAACTCAATTAAGAAATTGGCAAAGGACCTGAACAGACACTTCTTCAAGGGGGACATACAGAGGGCCCAGAGACATATGAAAAGGTACTCAGCATCACTAGCCATCAGAGAGATAAAAATTAAAACCACAATGAGATACCACTTCATGCTGGTCAGAATGGCCATCATAAACAAATCAACAAACAAGTGCTGGAGAGGCTGTGGGAAAAAGGGAGCCCTAGTGCACTGTTGGTGGGAATGCAGACTGGTGCAGCCACTGTGGAAAACAGTATGGAATTTCCTCAGAAAACTAGAAATGGAACTGCCTTTTGACCTGGCAATGCCACTGCTGGGATTATATCCTAAGAACCCTGGAACACCAATCCAAAAGAACCTATGCACCCCAATGTTTATAGCAGCACAATTTATAATAGCCAAGTGCTGGAAGCAACATAAGTGCCTATCAGTAAATGAATGGATAAAAAAACTATGGTACATTTACCCTATGGAATACTTACTACACAGCAGAAAGAAAGAAGGAGCTCCTACCCTTTGCAATAGCATGGGTGGAACTGGAGACCATTATGCTAAGTGAAATACGCCAGGTGGTAAAAGACAAATACCATACGATCTCACTTTTAAGTGCAACCTAATCAACAAAACAAATAAGCAAGCAAAATATAACCAGAGATATTGAAATTAAGAACAGACTGACAGTAACCAGAGAGGAGGTAGGAGGGGATAATGGGGAGAAAAGGGGGGTGGATTTTCAGGAACAGCTATAAAGGACACATGGATAAAACCAAGGGATGTTGGGTTCAGGGGAGTGAGGGGGATGGCGAGGGTTGGGGGGAAGTTGTGGTGGGAAAATGCAGACAACTGTACCTGAACAACAATAAAATTAAAAATTTAAAAAATTGCAAATTCAAATTTATCTTCAGGGATGAAATGATCTTTCAGTTAACTGATTTGTAATACCTGATATTTTTAAAGTCAACTCTGCATGTCAAACACATTGGTGTTTGGTTTTTTACTTTAATTTTCAAAAAACATTTTATTTATTTCTTTCTAGAGAGAGGGGAGAGGAGGGAGAAAGAGAAGGAGAGAATCATCAATGTATGGTTGCCTCTCACCTGCCCCTAACTGGGGACCTGGCCCACAACCCAGGCATGTGCCCTGACAAGGAATCAAACCAGTGACCCTTTTGTTTTCAAGTGGCCTCTCAGTCCACTGAGCCACACTAGCTGGGGCAGGTGTTTGAGTTTTTAAATGAAAATCTCTTTAAGGCTTGGGTATAGAGGCTTCTCTGAAACTCTCAAGGACTTTTAGAATTTCCTTGCTCTTTTGTTTCCTTCCACACAAGTCACCAGGCTTGGTTTAGAAAAAGAGCCATCTGTCTTCATTGGTTTCCATCTTTATGTTTCATAGCTTTTACAATAATTTAAGGTTCTAAGCAGGTGGAGAGGGTTTGGGCCAGGGTGAAGTGATCCCATCCTCGAGCTGATTCAAGAGCCAGTATTTATTCTCTGTTTACACCCCTGCCGTGGGCTTATGTGATAGCCCCAGCGTGCAGAGCCCCCACTGCTGCCAGAGGTCTGACTGCTATGCAGGGAGTGGGCACCGGTCAGGTTGGATTGTGAGGAACTAGTTAGTCTCTGTGTTCTGTGTGACCACCGGTGGGGGAGACTAGGTAGAAAGGAGATCCAAATGAGAGTTTCTGGCAGTACATCAAATCACCTGCCTGGTAATTCCAGATCAAAATGCAGTAATATTCAGTGCACAAAGGCTGCAGAAATGCTTGCCTTTCACTCACAAGGTTAGCTTTGGTTTCTGTTTTTCCATGGACATTTGTAGTCTGGGCAGGACAGTCAGTCATCCCATATTTTAACTTCTTCTGTTTGAATAAGGGGAATGGTAATATTTTCAGCATGCTTAAGAGATGGCTGAAAGTCATAAAAAGCTGTGAAATATTTGAAATAAAAGTTTGGACCAACATGATATTTCTGCTTTTCTGATCTTTTCTTAATCTTTCTTTTTAGGTTAATGATGCTTAGTTTCAGATGGCCATTGGAAACGCCCCTTGGCCCATTGGTGTCACTATGGTTGGTATCCATGCCAGAACTGGTAGGAAGAGATGTGAATACACAACGTCATGGTTGGTTGGTAAGCACTCCCGCACATCTCATCACATCGTACGTCATCCATTGCGGGTCACAGAGCTTCCTGCTACTTCCAGGCGTGCTTGGCTCTGATAAACCATTTCTTAAAGACAAGTTATTGCCTTTTAATAGAACTTTGGAAGCTCACTGACAGCACTTTTTAAACAGCCAGATGGAACAAGTCACTCATCTTCTCTCTTATTCTTCAGCTTCTCGGGCTGTACTGCTAAATGGGCCTGTGCTTTCATCTTCAAGCCTTAGTTCTTACAATGCAGACTTGTGACAGGTACAGAAATAATGGCTCTAATAAAGTGTCTCTTTTATACTTCAATAAAAGATTTCTTTAAAAACAAAAAAATCTTTCTCAAGTCCTATTAACTAATGATAGTTTAGGAAAGAAAAGGGAGAGCACATGTCCATGCTGTTCTAGCCTCTTGTGCCAGTGGGACATAGCTCCCACCTGCGGTCGGTTGCCTTTAAGAGAAAAACGTTCCTGAAAGAAAAGATTCCATATGGAGCTGCTGTCCACAAGCACGAAAAAGGATGGGTGAAGGAAGATGGCATGAAAATCTGGTTCAACCAAGTCTGGTCACGAAGACCTGGAGGATTACTTAAAAAACCAGCTTTGCTCGTTTTTGATGACTTCAAAGCCCACGTTACACAAGTGCAAAAGCAATTGCAGTGGACTTGCAACCCAACTTGCTGTGATACCTGGTGGGCTAATCAGCCAACTGCAACCTCTTGGTGTGTCAGTAAACAAGCCCTTTAAGGTCCTAATGAAGCAAGAGAGGACATTGTGGATGTAGTCGGCTGGAAATGATTTAACACCGACAGGCAGGATCAAGAAAGCATCCATCGCCCTGGTCTGTGACTGGATCGTAAGATCGTGGAACAGTGTCAAGAAGAAAGCAGTTGTGAAATTGTTTAAAAAATGCATCATAGCAATGCTGTGGATGGAACTGAGGGCAATGATGAAAGTTACTGGAATGAGGAAAGTCATCTTCAGAATACACTGGTGATGTAGAAACTGAAGAAGATGATACTTCTGAATTGACAGTGACTAAGAGTTCTTTGGCCTTCTATGATTCATAAATCTTATAAATTTGTTACCAGTACATAAAATTTCTTATACCTGGTATCCCTTATTGTGTTTTGTATATATTTATTATATAAAATTTCTTGTGCCACAATATGCTCAAAAATAAATACTAAAATTCCAATATAATGCAAAAACCCCAAGTATCTAAATATAAATAAATAAATAGTTGAATTAAAAAATTAAAATGAAAGATGTTTTTCCTGAAAGTTTGGGCCAAAAAATTGGGCACATATTATACATGGGAGTGCCTTATACACGGCAAAATTCGGTACTTTCTTAGGGATCCACATCACTCAGGAAGGGGTGATGTCATAGCAGAGCAGGAGACTTCAATACAAGTCTGTGTGCTGATCCATGAGGCTTCCAGTTCCTGTTCTCCACAGGCTGCTCTGATGCTGACAGCCAGGCTTTTACCCCTAGTTAGGACACTGGAGCTGGGTCTCTGTGAGCTGATCCAGGAGAAAAGACCTACAATCACTAACAGTATTACTCCAGTGACAAAACTGGCTTGCCCCTAGTGTCCAAAGATGAAGTTCCACTAATGAGGCCTGCTTATTCATGGAGTTTCCTTTAGCTGTTTAGTGTCCTATTCAGCAAAATGAATGTTCACCTGGGACTCTCAGAAATTTAGAGAAAGTTTCCAACATAAAAGACAGAGGCCAAAACAAACTCAGGGAAAAGAAGGCGCTCAGGGAGAAAGTTATCAAATAGGGAAGAGAAAACAAAACCCCTCAGTTAAAAACTGAACAGCCTTAGGTGAAGTCATAGCCATGAAATAACAACAATACACTATGAAGAGAAAGGGCAGTGAGTGAAAATGAGCTCTTGGAACTTAAACATTATGGCAGAAATGTAAAGATTAAATAAAACAGAAGATAAAATTGAGGCAATCTTGGCCGTGTGAAAGATAAAAGGATGAGGGAGTCAACCTGTAAGGTCTGCAACTGTTCAAATTTCAGGTAAAGGAGAACAGAGAAATTAATTGGAGGGTGAGGACATAAACAATAAATGCAGGAAAACTTCCCAGAGCTGAAGGACAGGAGATTCCAAAATGAAAACGAGAGCTCATTGAGTACACAGGCAAATGAATAAGAAAGGACTCACATCAAGGCAAAATATAATGAAGTATTGGAGGGTAAGGATAAAGAGAAGATTTTAAATGCTTCTGGAGGAATGAAGCAGGTCATTTACAAAGGCTCAGGGATTGAAACGCCATCACACTTCTTATTAAGAGTACTGGCAGCCAGAAGACGTTGGAGCAATGCCTCTGTAATAGTAAGGGAGAGAATTTTCAACTGATTCCCTTTCCATCTGAACTAACAGTCAAGCATGAATATAGGCTCAAGGCATCTCCAGACAGTGAAGTCTCAAAATGTGCCCTCTCATGTACCCATTTCGGGAATCGCCACGGTGAAAGGTCGCACTTCTGTGATGCCGTCTGTGTGCTTCACTTCACCAGTGTAGAGCAACAGTGTGAGGATATTATGATATGTCTGTTTGACAAGTGGAGGAACCAAGGCACAGAGAATTAAGTTCCCAAGACCACACACACAGCTAGGAAGTGGCGAGGTTGGGATTTGGACCTGGCTTGTCTTAACACCACTATGTGATATTGCCTCTACTTCAGGATGTGTTCCCCCCAAGTGAGGGAAACAAACAAAAAAGCTGCAGGAAGTGAGATCCAGCCCTGGAGCAGGGAAAAGGAGCTCCCAGGTTGGAGGAGAAGGGATGCTCTCAGATGGCAGCAGTATACAAGGAGGTCCGGAATCCAGCTGGCCTAGATCGGCACAGGCAGGCAGAGGGCTCCAGGAAGAAAAAAGGGGGAAACAGACACATTACCAATGTGTTTGGTCACACTCAGAGTTGTCTCACTGTTGGAGAGCAAACGGTGACATCTGCATGGAAGAGCAAAAAGATGGGGAAGCACACCTGTGCAAAGAGAGGTCAGCGTCATACACTGTGTGGTTCTGTTTGAAGAGTTTCTGTGTGGACATCATAAGGTACATCCTGAGTACTGTGTTCCCTACGCATTGTGACTGGGGAGGGTGGGGAAAGTGTGTGCGGGTGCCTGCGTGCTTATGTGCAGCCAGTGGGCGTGATGTAGAGAATTAAATCCTCAGCTTTCATGGTAGGAAGTCAGTAGGTTAAAAAATTAATCAATCAATCAATCACAATAAAACACAGTATCAGCATAGTATTTGGAAATAGGGCAGTAAATATCAGAAGAAACACTTAAGAAATTTGAAAGGTTGCCTCTGGAATGGCACTGGAATGAGGGATTGGAAAGGGTGGAGCAGAGGACTGCTCTTGTTTGATGTAAGAGCTGTGTACCTTCTTTTTCCATAATAACACACAACACATGGGATTGTTCTTGACTGTTCTTATCTGTTCGAAAACCTTGCTGGTTCTCTATTCAAAGTAGATCTAAAATCTGACCCTTCTCACTACAGCCACTGCTGCCACCTGGGTCCAGCCACCACCTCTGTCATCTGCAGTGTTGCAAAGTCTCCACTGTGGCCCCTGACCTTCTCTCCCTGCGCTTTCAGTTAGGTGTCTGTGCAGCACCCAGAGTGATCCAGTGAAGTCACAAACCGGATTCTGTCGCTCTCTTGCCCAGAGCCCCACAGTGGTTCCCTAGTTCGCCTGGAGCAAGCCGAAGGCCTTTCAGTCATGCCCCCACATCCACCCCACCCCTTCCCTGCTTTACACTTGTCCATAGTACCTATCGTGATTTAACGTGTTAGGTATGTTACATATTTATTTTGTTTCTTGTCTATCTTCCCTTATTAGAACCTAACCTTATTGCGGGTGGGGTTTTGTTTTGTTCCTGGCTGTATTTCTAGAGCCTGGGATAGTGCTTGGCACATAGTAGGCCCTGAATAAAGATTAATAAATAAATATTTTGCTATTATAAAAATAAAAATTGTATGCAAAAAAACCATCAGTTTTTTTTTGCAGTGAGTTAAATAGCTCACTGCCTTACTAGTCTAAGCATCACAAGTAATTTGAAAGTGAAATCCTGAGGGATCCAGTTGAAAAGGTTTCTTTCCACTTGGACAATAACCAGATGCTGTCGTGAAACTATGCCCCTTTAACTTAAAAATCTGTGCTGTGTACTATCAATCCTCACTGTAAAATTTATCATACTGTAAACTTCTTATGACCTGGACTACTGATTTCTGAAGTTTTTGGCAGTTAACATTTCAGACAAGATACTAGCATTGCTTTTTAAATCAGATTCTCCTTGGTGAGGGTACACAAACCTCACAGATACCTTCTTTAAGGGGCAAGTTCCTAAGATTCCAGTTCTTGTCAGGAAAGTCACCCCCATCAGTCTTAACCCCCGTTTGTCTTTTATTCGCTCATCCTGATTCGTGCCATGTTCTGCTGCTGCTAATGCTGTTTGTGTTTCATCAGGGTGTTCTCTTTCTCCTGTTCGCTCCTCTTCTCACCTATTTCTTATGAGGTGTTTTGTTTTCAATTTGGGCTTCACTGTTGTTTGAATACTTAGGTAATTACAGAGTAATGAAGAGTTCTACATGCTTGGTGATGCTTCAGGATGTACCTGTTATATCCGCCAACATTTCAAGGCAGTTCTTCACCTCTCTTCCTCAGGCTTCCAGACACACTCTTCTGTTGTTGCGTAGTGCAGTTGGAGCCGCATACTCTGCTTTCCCACTAAGTCATGAAGCTCTTTCTTTTAAGAGATGATATTTCTTGGTGTCATTTTGAGGAAATAAAACAAATTTGGGGAAATATTAGCTAAGAACCAGGCAGGGTGCTGTATGTGCAATTTCACATTCAGTGTCCAGTATAGGGCTGCACTTGGTTAACCACTGTCCTCTGGTAGGGTTCCATTCTTGTCAATGTGATGGGAATTGGGTGATTGTCATTTTTGTGAACTCAAGCTGGGAAACCTTAAAATAATTTTTGTCACAAATGACATCGGAGGTGATTAAAATTAAGTGCTGCTGTTCTTGGTGGATGTTATGTTTAATGACTAATCCATATAGCTGTAGATAAAACAGTTAGCCGGACTTATTGCTGGTTGCAGAACTCTTCCCGGCACTGTTCCAGAGAGACCTAGAGCAGCCTGACCAGGTTTCTGCCCTGGTCTCTGGCCTGTTTGTGAATTTGGATGATGACTTAGAGGTGTGTTTGCTCACCAGTGGATGAGAAAGCTAAGAAGAATACCTGAAAACGAAATGCCAGCTAAGGGTGTTAAAAGATCACAGACGTAAGGATGAGTTGCAAGAGACTGGAAGAATTTTAAGAGTGACAGTTCTTGTCATCAGGTAAAATTATCACTATCAAGTTAAAGACTGGATAAGAACTGGCCTTAGCTGCAGGGGATAGAGAGCCCTTGATACTTATGAGGCGGTGGGAATTTGTGGTGTGCTCTGTAGTTGTCTAAAAAGAACTGAAGGCCTCGGTTACACAGGTGGCAAAGGTCCGGAACAAAGGCAGTGCAGCCGCAGCCCACTGAGTTCGGCAGGACTGGCCAGGTCACGTTTGCAGTGTAGCACTCAGTGTCAGGATGTTCAAATGCTTTCATTATGTATCATTTTGTGCATCCAAAGAGACACGTGCAAGTTATAAAGTGAACAAAACAGGTATCTAAAGGCCTTAATTGCAGCTTAAGAACTAGAGCATTTTGAAAAGCATGCATCTGTATTTTCCTTCTCTACCCCAGAAATAACCATCATCTTGAATCTGTTACTTCCTTGCTTTTTCAAAAATAATTCCGCCATGTTATATGTATGTTTCTGAGCGATATATTATTTTTGAACTTGTTTTTGAGTTTTATTAAAATGCTATTATATTGTTGTGCAACCTTTGCCACTTGCTGTTTACACTCAGCATTATTTCTAAGATTCAGGTACATCAGTTGTTCTCAACCAGAGTCCCCACCTGGGCCATAGAACACACAAAGTGGTCCGAGTGCCCATTCTGACACGTTTCCCTAGGACATACACAGGAGAGGAGCTGTCTCATTAGGTACAGTGGATGTTTGAGACTAGGCAGTAGGCCTCAACTCTCTGCTGGACCTCGAGTTGTTAGACGCTCTGCCTCGTTAATCATTGTGACCGCTGTGAAGGGCTCCATCTGTGAGCGTATGGATGCTCGTTCACAGCCCTCCTGTGATGAACATTTGGGTGGTTTCCCATTCTGCTGCTGCTGTTATTGTTACTGTGGCCAGTTGTACTGTGACTGCTTTGTCATGTCTCTGGGTGCACATGAAGAAACGTTTCCCTAGGTGTACATCTGAGTGGTATTGCTAGAGACTGCCACATTTTAGTGGGGACATTGGTAAACTGCAGTGAATACAGAGGAGGGCAAGTAAGGAAAGTCCCAAGGTGTCATAACCAACCTTTATTTTCCTTATTTTCTTAGGGATTGAAGAGGTTAGTGACCATTTGCCAGAAGTACTTTCCTACAGATCCCTCAAAATGCGTGGAGTACAATGCATTTGGTGTATGGTGTGTGGATACAGGGAGAAACTCCAGGGAGCACGGTGCAGACTTCTGGAACTTCCAGCAGGAACCAGGGAAGAAGACAAATGGGTTTTCTAGACTCTGGGTTCTACCTAATGCAGTTCTTGCATTTTAAGAAGTGTCTTGGCGCTCATATCACAGCTGACTGCAGACTGACTTCTGTGTTGCTGATGTATTAAATAGTTGAAAAACTAAAACTAAGTTCAGAAAGACTCTCCCTAGTTTAAATGTGCAGACAGCGGTCACAGAAGAGGTTTAAAATGACTCTTTCCCTCGAGACCTGGGAGTTGCAGTTTGATGACTGAAAGTTCATTTGAGGGTGGATTTCATTGTTTCTGTAAAATATAGGGCTTTTCCCACTGTCCTATATGTCATATTTTTGGAAAGTATTTTTATATGTCTGCATAGAAATATGGAACCATTTAGTAACACTTTATAGTCCTTAAATGTTGAACATTTGCCATCCTGATAGAGAATTCAAATGTAAATGTTACAGTTGACTCAAGTGTTATTTTGATTGCATTTCAAAACTTGCTTTTATCGTCTAAGGAGTGGAAAGTTTTGTCTCTGTTATCTCCTGGGACAGAGGACTAACAGGAAATAAGAGTCTGAGAAACAAAGACGGTATGTTATAGCAACAGAAGTTCAAATTCAGTAGTCTCAGCACATGCAGGTCCAGGTGGGGAAGTGGGGTGTCAAGCCAGCCAAGAATGGGGGCATTGTGATGCTGCTGGTCCATCCTGCACTGGGACTGCCTGCAAGTTCCGTCCTCGTCAGACCTGTGGGGGACCGCTGTTCCCAGCTCCCTCCCTCCAGGCAGAAGAGAGATGCCGTCACTCTCATCACTGCCTGACACAGTAGGCCCTGGGTTTGATTTTCACAAAGCAGGACTTCTGAATTTTGTGTGTCACACCCTGGGAATTGTGATTGGTCACTGCGCTTTAGGAGCTGAGAGGACTCGGTTGATAGAGGGAAGTGGGTAGACACAGTGTTTGTCATCTGTCCATGTACCAGACACCGCACCAGATGGTGGTGAGAGCGGGACTCTGTCTGAAGTGTGGACCTCTGGCCTCAAACTGCAGCTCTCCACCTCATGACCGAATGACCATGGCTAACTTAATCTTTCTGAGCCTCAGTTTCTTTGTCCGCAAATAGTAGGCAGTCACAGCAGTCCATACCTGCCAGTGTCATTGTTGTGTTTAAGTAAAATGCTTAGCACGCTGCTTGGCAAATAAGAGCTCAATGGCTACGGGCTGCCGTGTCCTTGTTGTTATCCGAGTGTCACCGGAGTAGCTGTCAGGAGCCCCGTGGTCAGGGGCAGTGTGTGCTCACGGAATGATGATGAGAATGGTGGCATCCGCAGCAGCGGTAATAGTGAGACACTCACTGAGCGTTTACTACATGCGGGTCCTACGAGGCTCCCACTTTCTGAGTTTACAAGGGTGGAGGATGTGGGAGCTGAGTCAGCTGATGAGGCAGGTGAGTGTAGATTCACAGTCCCCTATTCTGGTCCTTTTGGGGAAGGCATGAAAGCTGGTCTTGGCCCCTTGTGATCTGTGCCCATGCCTGACTTTCTGCATGTTATTTGCATGGGTGGTGGCTGAGGCCCCCCGTCCTAAATTGAGCCAGGTTCCTCATCCCCCAACCCTCCCCACTTCTTACTCTGGAAACCATGCCCTAGACTTTGCAATGCTGAGATAACAATCTAGACCAGTGATTTACTTGTGTGCTGCAAAAATTTTTAAAACATGTAGTACCTGAATATTTAGGCAGGGGTCATGACCTCATTTCCCTTAGCTTGTCATATTTAAAAATGAGGACAGCCAATACAATAGCCATCTGGTGCAAATCAATCAAAATAATACCTATGGCTTTTTTGTTGTTTGTTTTTTGTCAGATGACACATTTTATGGTGTGCTACAGAATTTTAGTAATTACTTTATGTGTGCCATGAGTTGAAAAAGGTTGAAGTTTACTGATCTGGACCTTTTGCTACGTAGTCTTATTGCAGAGGACTCGTTTATACGTCCTGCTGACTGAAGACTGCCCACATGACGTCTGTGTACTCACCAGGCCACAGCATGGCAGTCAGTCATTTTCACACTGCCTCCCTCCCGTTTGCTGTTTAGTGAACGTGCTGCATAGAGAAGAAGTGGCATCATGTGACAGCAGTGCCTTCTAAAATTGATCAGTACGGATAGATAGTTTAAAAAATATATGTAGCCCTGGTAGGTGTGGCTCAGTGGATTGAGTGCCAGCCTGTGAACCCAAAGGTCGCAGGTTCAATTCTCAGTCAGGGCACATGCCTGGGTTGTGGGCCAATCCCCAGTGGGGGGCATATGAGAGGCAACTGGTCACTGTATCTCTCCCACATTGATGTTTCTCTCTCTCTCCTTCTCCCTCCCTTGCCCTCTCTAAAAATAAATAAAATATTTTTTTAAGTAATTGTAACATGCTCTACAGTGACGTGAATGTTAACCATTTTGATTTTGGATGGAGGGAGGCAGGTTCAAAGACGTAAATCCCTCATAGAGAGTTTTCCATTTCCCGGAAACTAAAGATTTCAATGAATACAAATATCGAATGGGTAGAGAATACAAAATAAGACCTCTTGTATTCTCTGAATCATGAAAATTTTAATTTAGAAGATAACTAACAGCCTACGAACACTCTCCCTCTCAGAGCAACAGATGATCATTAGCAAGTCTCATCAGCCCATCTCTCTGCCTCCCATGACCAACTTAACTGGAGAAGGGTTGTAGTTACATCAATCTCCTGATCCCACCTGTTTATCATTCTTATAGGAGTTACCATGGCTATTACTGCTTCATGTTCCTTTTACATGCTAACTATAACGCAACAGACAACCACATAATATCACATTAACAATATTAAAGCATCCTTTACATGAGAAAACATGCTCATAATAATGCAATGAATGCCCCACTACTCTTAACCATTAATTCCAGGATTATTTGGGGGACTTTGTATTATAAATATAGTTTAACCAAAATATTAGGTTGAGAATCTATTAATAGAATCTAAAAATAGTTGTTTATTGAAAACTGCTAGAACTGCTAATTCATGCCCCCACACCTAAGAGTGTGGCTTTTGTAAACTTTGGAAGTTGTCCCTTGGCCTTAGGAACTGCAAAGTTGGTGCAAGTTCAAATAAAAGTGAGAAAGCTAATTGCCTCCTCAATAGTAATTTCACTATTTATACTAATTATACCAGTCACAATAACTGTCTCTAATATTCAGAAATACATTGTATATCAAACTGTGTAGAAACTATAATCTCATGCACCTTTATTACCAGGCCAATCCCCACAGTAATGTTTACCTCCTCCAGCCAGGAAATAGTCATTTCTAGCTGACACGAATAACAGTTTGAACTATGAAACGATCACTCAGCTTCAAGCCAGACTAGTTCTCAGAAGTATTGATTCGCACACCAGTAGCCCTGCACCACTCGTCACATGACTCGTTAACCGAGTTCTCAATGTGATATATGCACCCAGATCCAAATGTCAATGCTTCAAGTGCCTCTTGTGTTTCTTACCCCAGTACTAATGCTAGTTACCACCCACAGTCTTTTCCAATTTATTGGCTGAGAAAGAGTAGGAATTACATCATTCCTGTTAACTGGCTGATGATACGGCTGAGCAGATGCTAATACTGCCACCCTGCGAGCAATCTTATATAACTGTATCAGAGACACCGGATTTATTACACCGATAGCATGATGCCTATGTAACTCTAACACGTACAGAGGATTACAACAGATCTCCTTACTCAACCTTGACAACTCCAACCTCCTGCTAACCGGATTCCTCCTAGCTGCTACCAGCAAATCAGCCCAATTCGGATTACCCACGACTAGCCTCTGCCATGGAAGGCCCTACACCCATCTCAGCACCACTCCACTCAGGCAGGCATTTCTCTACTAACCTGACTCTACCCACTGACAAGAAACAACCTGATTCAAACAACAATATTATGCCTAGGAGCAGTCGCCACACTGTTTATAGCAATCGGGGTCCTCACTCAGAATGGCATTAAGAAACTATAGCTTTCCCCGCCTCAAGCCAACTAGGCCTGATAATAGTCACCATGAGCCTTGACAAGCCCTCCCTATGCCTTTCGCCGTGTGTGTACACATGCATTTTTAAAGCCATACTGTTCTTATGTTCAGGGTCTGTTATTCACAGCCTACATGATGCACGAGACACTTGAAGGATTCACAGCACTGCCCTTCCCTCTCACTGCACTCATTATGGAAGCCTGGCACTAACAGGAATACTTTTCCTAACAGGATTTCATGCCAAAGACCTAATTATCGAAACCGCTAACTCATCATATACCAACACCTGACCCCTACTAATCACTCTCATCGCTACCTCCCTAACAGGAAAGTTGTACTTAAAACTTTACATTAGTGAGTGAGATCGACAATCTTGGCAGCAAACCACTGGTACCATTCCTTTCCTGGTGTAAAATTTTCTTGACAGAGGTCACTGTCTTTCACTGAGAAGCAAATTTTAATTCTTACTGCCATCTGATAAGTTACAGAGGACAGATATCAGTCCCTCCATTTCCGTGTTACCCTCGCAGCAGGTAATAATCCTGTCGAAGTTTCACAGCCAGGTTTGGGGCTGGGTATAGAACCCAGTTTTCTTGATTTTTTCCTTGTGACACTATGTACCTCAGATGCAATGAGACTGGGCTATCTGACCTGCACCCAAAGGACTCCAAGTGAATTTTATAAAAGTACCATTTTAGCCGTGGCAGCTGTGGCTGTCTTGGTCAGAGCATCGTCCCATAGCCAAAAGGTTACAGGTTGATTCCCGGTCACAGCACATACCTAGGTTGCTTGCAGATTCTTGTACTCTTATAATTACAAAGTCAACCATATTCGTTTGGCTAAGATGTTCGTAGGAATATGGGCGGCAGAGTTTGAGAGAGTAAAATATGTAAAGGAATTATTTTGTCAGTGGCTGGTTTAAATTGAATATGGGCAACTACATTTCTAAATTTTTCTTAAAAACTATTTTTGTGGCGGTGACACAGTCAAGGCGGCAGATGGGGACAGGGCTCCTCAGTGGGGTGGGGCCTGGTCCAGAGCCCGGAGAAGAGTAAGAGGTCCTGCTGTGGAGCCAGAAGCCAGGTCAGGGGACCTACAGAGTGCAGCAAGGTGGCAGGAGGGCTGTGGTGGAGGGCTGGTCCACACCCATCCTGACCCTGGTGCACAGGGTCTCGGGCAGCCTCTCTGCAGGCTGCAGGAACATGCAGGACAAGTGTTTCACAAAAGCCATGACCCAAAATAATCAACATTGTGGAAAAT